ACTGCTGAGGCGTATGCTGACGAGTCTCGCCAGCACGTCACGTTTGGCTGTCGAACTATTCCTTAAGATCCAAAGTGAGGGTGAGGAGTCCGACGATGCTATCGAGCCGCGTAACGCATACGACACGAAATTGCTTGTGGCATTCACGGACATGCTCAGCACCGTGGAATGCCGCTTTTGGGCTCGGGAAACAAGCACCGAGTGGTGGGATCACATCGTCATGGAAGTCTGGGATGACGAGCAGTGGCTGCAGAACTTTCGGATGAGAAAAGCCACTTTCATGGGACTGTGTGAGGAGCTTGCCCCCACCCTGCGGCGCAAGGACACGAGATTGAGAGCTGCCCTGCCAGTGGAGAAGTGGGTGGCTATTGCAATCTGGAAGCTGGCAACTCCAGACAGCTACCGGTTGGTCGCAAACCAGTTTGGAGTGGGAAAGTCGACCGTTGGAATCGTGTTGATGCAAGTTTGCAAGGCCATTAATCGCATCCTACTCAGAAGAACCGTGACTCTGGGTAACGTGCAGGAAATAGTGGATGGCTTTGCACAAATGGGGCTCCCTAACTGTGGAGGGGCGATAGATGGGACGCACATTCCTATTCTGGCACCACCCCACCTAGGATCCGAGTACGTTAATCGGAAGGGGTATTTCTCTATGGTTGTCTAGGCGCTTGTGGATCACCGTGGGCGTTTCATTGACATTAACACAGGCTGGCCTGGAAAGGTGCATGACGCACGCATCTTTCGGAACACTTGGCTGTTCAGGAAGATGCAGGCCGGGACTTTTTTCCCAGAGCGGAAGATCACGGTAGGGGAAGTTGAAATGCCCATTGTGATCCTTGGAGATCCCGCTTACCCGTTAATGCTGTGGCTCATGAAACCCTACACAGGGAGCCTTGACAGCAGCAAGGAACGGTTCAACTACAGGCTGAGCCGGTGCCGAATGACTGGAGTGTGCCTTTGGCCGTTTAAAGGCCCGCTGGCGATCTCTGTATGGGAAGCTGGACTTGGCTGAAAACAGCATCTCCGCGGTTATATCCGTGTGCTGTGCCCTCCATAATATTTGTGAAGGGAAGGGTGAAAGCTTCACTCAGGCATGGACCTCTGAGGTTCAACACCTGGAGGGTGAATTTGCACAGCCAGAGAGCAGGGCTATTACAGGGGCCCAGCGCGGGGCTGCAAGGATTAGGGATCCCTTGAGGGAGCAATTTGAGGCTAAAAACCAGCAGTGATATCTGATGCCCTGCACGGGAGTGAAGTGCAGTAGTTTCAATCTTTAGGAATCAGTGTTTGCTAAGCAGACTTGCAGTGCCTGTTTATTTCCTGGGCTAAGGAGTCTTTTACTTTATGCAATAATAAAGAATGTTTTCAAAGCCAAAAAAATCCATTTATTGAAAAGAAACAAGGGGGTGGAGTGGGGAACAGTACAATCACAGATTTGCGTATGTCCTGTCTGGTGTGCTGTGCAGTGAGTACTACACTTCAGGACAGTTATACTGCATGGTGATGGGGGTTGAGTGCAGAGGGTAAGGGTCATGGTTTTCAGGGCTGGGTGGTGAAGATACTGGTGTTGGAGGCAGCGGGTGGCGTGAAGAACACGGAAGTTGGGGAAAGTGGGTTGGAGGTGACAGTGGGGCACAACGGAAAGAGTTTTGGGACAAGGGCTGTAGGGGGGGGTTGGCATTTGCGTTTGCGGTACTGCTCCTCTTTCTGCATGGCTACCAGCTCCTGGATAGCGTCTGCTTGGCGCTCCAGGATGCTTATGAGCCTATCAGTGTTTTGCTGCCGGTGTGTGGTTCTTTGCCGCCGGTGCGCTGCATTTTCCTGGCGGATCCTGCTTTCTCTCTCCCTCCAGTTCTGTGCTTTCTCATTCTCTTTAATAGATTGCTGCATCACTTCTTGCAGCATGTCTTCTTTGCTTTTTCGCGGTCTCTTCCTGAGTCTTTGTAGTCTCTGAGCAGGCGATAAGAGGGACGGCTGAGGTCTCAAGGTTGATGCAGCTGTATAGGCAAAATGCAACATTTAACAGAGGCAGCATTGTTTATACCAGACAGAGTAATGATTCCCCCCGCACTTAAGGAGTAGAAAACACACAGGGTCTACACAATAGCATAATTTTCCCATCCGAAACAGAGCATACATATCCCACAGGAGCCTCAAAATGGTGAGTAAGGGGGACTGATTGTTTCAGGGCTGCACTGTCCTCTGGGTTTCTGTGCCTTGGGGAGAGCCAACAGCTTCAGGGGGAACCTACACTGACCCAACATTTTCCACAGGAGTTCGTCTTGGACGATATCTCGCTGCTGAGGGTGACCTGGGAAGCAAGGGAAGGTCTTCTACTGCAGTGCGGCTTCCGCCCTGGCCCATATGCAGCTTGCCTGTGTGCAGCAATGGTCCTCGCGGCACCGTGGCGCGGACACGTTAGCCTGGCTGGGACAAGGACCATGGTGGCTCTCCCGATAAACCTGCGCCAAGCACATTGCACACGTTCTGGATGAGACATTCGAGGAGATTACCGAGGCTGATTACGGCGATGTGATAAACCACATCAATGCACTATTCCGCATCTAGGCATGCATGCCTAACCCTCCTCTCCCAAAGAGCCCGCACCGAAAAAATTCCTTCCCGAAAAAAAACCCCGCTTACCGGGAACCTGCTGTTCTGTTTGTCCTCCACCAAGTACTGGCTGCTGCGACTGGCTACCTTCCTCCTGGCTCGAGAAGAGCTCCTGGCTGCATGGTTCTAGGGATTCTGGGGTGTCTCCATCCGTCCCACCACCATCACTCCCATTTTCCTCCTCCTCCTCTTCCTACTCCCCCACCGGCTCTGAAGTGTCCATGGTGGTGCTCGGAGTGGAGGTAGGGTTAACCCCAAGTATCGCATCCAGCTGTTTTGTAGAATCGGCAGATCGCGGGGGGAGCACCCGAGCAGCCGTTTGCGTCGCGGGCTTTGCGGTAGGCATTCCGCAGCTCCTTCACTTTAATCCTGCACTGTAGGGCGTCCCGGTCACAGCCCCTTTCCATCATGTCCTTTGATACCTTCCCGAAGGTATCGTAATTCCTACGGCTGGAGCGCAGCTGGGACTGTACAGCTTCCTCCCCCCAAACACTGATGAGGTCCAGCAACTCGCCATTGCTCCATGCTGGGGCTCGCTTGGTGCGTGGAGGCATGGTCACCTGGAAAGACTCGCTGATAGCACTCCACACCACGCCGGGCTGAGCAAACAGGAAGGGGATTTTTTAAATTCCCGGGGAATGTAAAGGGTGGGTCACATGGTTGGTTACCTGAGGCCAGGGCAGTAGAGTTTGAACTGATGACCAGAGTGGCTAAAACAGGCATTGTGGGATACTGCCCAATAATTCTGGAGGCCATTCACAGCGCATTGGGCGGCCACACTGGCGCTGCAGCAGTAGCGCAATACTCGCTATTCCTCTCGGAGAGGTGGAGTACATGCAGCGCTGCAACCACGGAGATACAGCGCTGCAAATGCCTTGCCAGTGTGGACGGGGAGTGAGTTCCAGCGCTGTAACTCGCAAGTGTAGCCAAGGCCTTAGTGTTTTCAGCTCTTAGTGATTGCTGCAAAGAAACAAGGACTCTCAATTGAGTTTTAATTAGCTCTGTCTGAAAACACTGGAGAGGGAGGGTCAAATGGCAGTTAGGACCTTTAAACAGGATGACCCAGATAGAAACACCTACCCTCCCACCCCACCCTCTGTCCATCACTTGAATTTCGCTCACTGTCCCACGCTTAGCGAATGAAGGTTACATTCACATATAATATGCCATGGATTAGGGCATATTAACTACAGTTCTGCTGCCCTTTAATCATACAATAAGGATAACATTTCATTACCCCTGCATCCAAGGCTTAAGAGAATTTTAACCCAAAACAGGCAAAATTGATTGCCTTGGCAAAGTAGGTCTGCTTCTGAGGCTTTTCCTCCAGTTAAAAACCTCTTGGCAACTATGATTGTGATCAACATTGCTAAGTGGTGTTATGCTAATTAGCACATGTTAGCAAACATGTTAGGTAAACATATCTCCCTTTCCTAGCCTAGACAGTGCCTCACTCACAGCTCCTCTTCTCCATGCCCAGAGGCAGAGTCCAAGGGTTTATCCAAACACAAACATTTCAAGGTGCTCAAACTGTGTGTAGACAAGCCCTCACTCTGCTCCTCAAGTGTATTGTTAGACATGGAAAGATTAGATGTTTTCGTTTTTGTTTTTTGGTAAACATCAATTTCACTGTAGACATGCAAACTGATTTTAAAAAAAATTGCACCATTAATAATCAAAATTTACAGTTAGGCAAAATAGGAAAAATGCTGTTTAAGAACTGCAGTTTGCTAAGGATATTTACTTTATATATTTTTAACATGTGGTGTTGACAGTTTGTGTTTAACAGTTATAAAGCTTTAATTTTTTGAATCTCCATGTCATTAAATAATTATTGCCCTAAATGCCCAAAGCTTCCTGCAACTGTGAACATGTAAAGTGATTAAAAATTGGAGAAAATATTTAAAAATCAGAATCGATAATCTCCGTCAAAATTTATATTAAAAAAAAAAAATCGAATGCTGCCAAGCCTGTGTATTGTCTTCATTTAGACTGCTCACAGGAATGGAGAGCCGCACCGACAGGGTAAACTAAGCAGACCTTTTGTTGAGGTGGTTTTCCCAGTACACGCTCTACTATCAGCAACACAGTTTAGTGCGCACACAGACAGAGCCTGTGTCTCAGGGTCACTTCTGGTGCCTATCTTAAAGGGACAGCGTACCAGTTATCTAACTGTGCATGAATACAGTGCAACAGGGATGCTGGGGGAGGCCGTGAGCATAGGACTGCTGTGAATGAGTGATTTATAACATGACTGTTGTAGCATAGCCTATTGAGACTGAACTTGGCTGACATTTCAAAAATGAAACTAATACGTCCAGGTGAGACGAGGGTCCACTGGGGCAAAGATATTCCCTTCTCTGCTGATTGCTGTGTTGGTATTGCAGGGAGCAGTGCCCCCCCAGCCCCCCTTAAGTCTTCCAGAACTGTTTGGGACCCTTCTTCTGCTCCTGCAGGAGCTCTATGGAGGTGAGAAGAGGAGAGTCCAAGAAGGCTGTATGGGGCTGAAGAGGACCTGGGATCTCACTTGTTCAGATAACCAAGGGACCCTGGGCATAAAAGTGTGAAATCCTGACCCCATAGAAGTCGGTGGCAAAACTCCCATTGACATGAGTGAGGCTAGAATTTCACCCAGAGCGTGTATGTTCTCTTTTCTTCCTTACTAGCATTGCTCCCCTCCCATCCCCCCTCTCATTTTTCTACCCTTGTTTGCCATTTGTCTCTGATCAGGTGCTTATTGGAAGTTCAGTTTTCCAAAGTGATCTTTTGCAGGATAGCCTGGCGCTAGACATATAACGTTTGTGTGTTTAAAAGAAGTCATCAACTTAAAAATCATACTTCTGACTGAAATCTTTTTATGTAAAATGACTGAGTGAGATGAGAAGGAAATACATTTTTCTGTTTGTTCACTTGACAGGACCTTGGGTATAGTCAGTTTCATTGTTTTCCCCTGTATTGTCAGTAAGTTTCTCCTTTGGTTTGTGAGGTTTTACTTTTGTCACACATCATCAGGGGAGAGAAAAACATAAGAGATGAAATGTGACTGTAAAACCACAAAAGTTTGCAGAGAGCTTGAGGGGCTGATGATCCAAAGGTAGGATGGTCCAGTGGTTAGAGAACTAGCTGGCAACTCTTCCCTGCTCTGTCACGGACTGCCTGTGTAACCTTGGGGAAGTCCATTCAGGGCCAGGTTAACAAAGATATTTAGGTGCCTAAAGATACAGATAGACACCTAGTGGGGTTTTCAGAAGCACCTAGGCACTTGATTTCTCAGTGGGAATTAGGTGCCTAAAAATGCAGATAGATGCCTAACGGATTTTTCAAAAGCACCTGTGCAGCTAAATACCTTTTAATAATCTTGCTCCTAGTCCCTCTCTGTCTCCATTTGACATCTGTAAAATATAAATAGTACTTCACTTCCACAAAGGGGAATTGTTAAGATAAATATACTAAAGATTGAGGTGTTCAAATGCTATCGTGATGGGGCCAAATGAGCACCTAAGATAGCTTCAGGTGCCACACTGTCTGTCTAACTTACTTGCTCTCTTAAATTTACTGGATTTTAAATTGACAGTATTCCTTCAAACCATAAGACTTTCCAGTGGTTGTATTTATGACCTAAGATGTTTCAGGGAAAGGAGAAGTTGACTGTTGCGTGATCCAGTCAGGCGGCTGGCTTGACATAAAAATCACAAATGCAAAATCAGCTACGATTGCAATATGAGGGTAATTCAGCAAGTATTGATCTATATTACTGCAACCTCAGATACCATAGCTGGTTATAGACGTGACACAGTGCTGGATTAGATCTCTTACTCTTGCATTGTTATACCAGATTATTTACAATGGTTTGGGTTTTTTTATAACATTAAAAAAACCCTGACATTTAATATGCAGGATTTGGTCCTGTACAGAGGAGTAAACTAATGAGTTGCCAGTAATATTGTACATAAAGTACAGGAGGGAGCCAGTCCTACCTGTCCTTCAAAGAGTTTCCTGCTGTTTAGTTTGAATTCCATGAAATAACATCAAGCTATCTATTTTCTTTTTCTTTCTTTCTTTTCTTTTTTTTTAAGCAAGAGGGAGACTTTCTTTTTTCCAAGCCATGTGAAATTTTTAGACTCCAGCTCTACAAATATAAGAAACTGAACAAATAATTGTAGTGACTGGTAACCTCCCATTCACTTTTTTTTTTTTTTTTTTTTTAAAGGACCGTACCTTAACTTTTTAAATAAGATTTGGTGCTGAACTTGACCTTAGATTTACTTTGAAGTCTTCAGGCTAACAAAAGTAGATGTGGAACATGTAGGCATGAAAAGACATACAAGCTATGGTTATCATATATGCCAAAATTCAGTTAAATTGTATGCTGTGTACTGTCTATGAACCCGAGACTCTCATTGACTTCAGAGAGTTTGGATTAGGTCCTGTGTGCATGCATACTATACATTATTTTTATATAATATATACACACACACACACGTACGTCACCATCAGCAATGGAAAACTGATGAGGTTTATGAATCCATTATGCAGCATTTAATCTGCAAAATTACGTATTTGTTTCCTGGCCTTCTATTGTTTCAGGTTGAAAAGAGCTTTTTCAGTTCCCACATAATTGAAAGAAAAAATCACTGGTCATGGTGGATTTGAATTGTTTGTTCCATAAATAGAGAGAGAGAACAGAGTAGCAGTTAAGAAGATAGCACGGGTTTATTTCACCAGCAGCAGAGGAGGAGTAATACAGAAACTGTATTTCTGAAGAGAGCCATTTCTGCTCTGAGAATTTGTCATCCCCTTGTGCAGCACACTCCAGTGGAAACCGGGAATAAAGTTAATACCTTGCTATTGGAAGTCAGATTCCCCTCCCCCGCTTGTGCATTCCATTGCCAGAAATAGGCATGGTAGGAAGCCAGCATGAAAGGATGAACACGAGCTGGAATAATCTTCATAAAAATGAATATGTTGCTCATGCTATATACAAATAGTATACGTTATTCTCAGCTGTAAAGCTGCCATGAGAATCTGTTTTTTCACATTTTATAAATTAAATGTATATAAAATCCATCTTTCCCCACACTTGCCCATCCCAGTATCTTTCATTAACCAGATCAGTGCAAAAGTGAATGGGCTTAATGCGGCCACAGGGCTAGACCGCATGGATCAGCTTGCAGGAGTGGAGCTTCTGAGTGTTTCTTCATGTTGGGTGGGTCTTTAAAGACAGGTGAGTAAAACAGAGAATAGATTTTTAAGCAGGATTGTTTCTAAACAAATTTAAAATTTTCTGCAGAAAAGCAGCCCAGTTTTAAATTCAGTGACATGCATCAAAATAAATGATTTTGGGATTGAAGGAATGGAATTCTTAAACAAATGTGTTCCTAAAACTTAAGGTAAAATATTATCAAACAAATCATGTACCTGCTCAGTTGTTAAACCTTCAGAGCAATCCTTCCCACTCCTCTCCTCCCCCGCCCCCCCCAAAAAAAGGAAAATGTAATAAGTATTTGGGCAGGGCTTTGAATAGTACTAGCAACTGATACTCATTCTGTTCTCACTTAGGCTGGTGTAAAACTGGAGTAGCTCCACGGGGTCAATAGTGTTACACTGGTGTAAACCCAGTTTAAGTGAAATCAGAGTAAAGCCCATAGTGCCTTTCATCTTCGCTTCTCAAAGCATTTTATCAAGGTGTGTGGTAGGTATTATCCTCATTTTAGAGCAGGGAAAACTCAGGCATAAAGAGGTTGAATTATTTACCCAGGTGAGAGGGTCCAGAACAGAACCCAGGTGTCCGGACTTCCTAGTCCCTCCTCTAAACAACTTGACCTCCGTTGGAGGGACCTGCCATGCAAGACAGCATGATTTGGTAATGTGACTGGAATATTCTCATTTTTGTTGAAGTTATTTTGTTCCAGGATATTAGAGCTTGAAAGCTTGTCTTTTTCATCAACAGAAGTTGGACCAATAAAAGATATTACCTCACCCACCTTGTCTCTGGAATGTTCTCAGTAATTTAAAGACCATTTAAATTCTCTTATTTTTATTTATTTAATGTCCATTTAACATTCAGTAGATTAATAGCCTTGGAGACCGAAGTCCTCCATTCCACTCTGTTTATTCCACAGAAGAGACATAGCGCATTGCATCAGTACCACCTTTCCTCGCTCTTCCCCCAGTATGCCTTGGTCCTTGGAGTGACCACCTCGAGGGGAGAGAGAACAGTTTAGTCTCCATATATCATTGTGAAAATGTTGGTTTTAATCCTTGCCCACCCTTTGTGTTGGGGCTGCACTACCGTTGTCTAATTGGAAATGGCTGTGTCCACCAAACCTAGATCATTGAACAGCTGTCAGTTGTGAATAGCTTTGGGTGACTACCAGCTTGGGCTGGTGGATTTGAACCCTCATCCTGGAGGTGTACATCTGAATGTCTAATACATTACTAGGGACCTCTAGAAAAGAAAAAATGTGTAAACTATAAACTGTCATACATAGGTCACCTGTTCTGTATCTGTAAAATGGATGCTTGAAATCAACTGAATGTACAAATGCAGTGTGAACAGCGATACTCAGGGTAGTATATTTGGAGTACTTAACTTCATGATTGCACACAGGCCTTTTTTTTTTTTACTAATTTTACTGAAGCCATCCCCCAGTCCTCATTTTTCATGTATTATAGTCGAGCAAAAACCTGTTGACTTAATGAACTAATCTCCTGTTGCAATGGAGAATTGCAAATGGCGTCAGGTGGACATGTTAATATTAACAGCCTCCAACCATCTGTTTTATTTCAGTTGCCAATGAAAAAAACTATGCAATAGGGAGACCGAGAATTGTTAAAAAGGTTAAACATTTTAACAACCAACCAGCTGAGCTAACAACTAGCTGAATTAGTTATGTATCTCTTCTAGATACTGGAGGCTACTAACTTGTGTCTGTCTACTGGTTTTAGCAACTGTGAAAGCTGTACTAGTTCTCATGTTCTTAGAACTCTCTCCTAATTTGCTAGGATAGTCTGGAGTGAAGAAACTAATCTACCATACTATGCTAGATATTGTGTTCTTTTTAGGGAAGTTAAAATGAAAGCCCCTTTTCAAATTTTTTTGAGTGACATACTGTCTGAACCATTGCAGTCAAGTACTGATCTACCAGATTGTCTGGTAAGAACATAATAAAAACTTGTCAGTGAAATAAATTGTCCATAATCAAAGATTGGAAGGATTACCAATTTCTTTTCCCCCCTCCAAAATGGATAATTGTACTTTAAATAATGTAAAGATCCACACCTATGTACTATTTGTAACATTTGTGGGAGGGGGTTAATGTTTCGATGGGGGGAAAAAATCGCCAAAAGAATTGTATTATAAAAGTACATTTTTATAGGATGCTTAGTGTTCCCCTTTTGAATGCGGAAACTATGAATAACTTTACTTACAGAAGTAGTCTCCATGGAAGTCAATAGGGCAATACATT